GTTATGAGTCAGGCTGATAACCTCAAGGTCAGCAGTTTGAAACTACCAGCCCTTCCAAGGTAGAAAGATGAGACTTTCTACTCCCCTACGATTAACAGCTGGGTCACTGTGCATTGGACCTGACTCCATGACCCACCACCACCACAGAAACTCTATATAGGTTCACTATGAGTCAGAACTGACTCCACAGCACTTAACAACAAGAAATCATGTACAGGAACTGCTGTAAGCCAAGAAAGTCACTATTTTAATGATTATTTGAATCTCTTATACTGGAAAGAAACATTTCTAATTAAGCGGCTTCATACAATAAGCACTAGATTTTGAACCACAAGATCTGCGGTTCGAACCCACCAGCCTCTCTGTGGGAGAAAGATGAAGCTTTCGGCTCTCTCAAAGATTTGAAGCCTGGAAATCCTTGTTCAGGGTCTCTATGAGCAAGAACTAACACAATGGCACTTAACAACAACAATCACCTCAGAATAATTCAAAAGATTTGGTTTACACAGATATATTTTTTTAAAGTAAGAAAGTTATAAACGTACCCCAGACTATGTAGTTTAAGGTAGTTTGTGAGCAGTGGGTTGATTTCTAGGCAAATGGTAATGGGAAGAAATGAAATGACTTGTTTCCTGATGTGAACTAGTTAGCTAGGAGGGGTAATTTGTATATCACATTTTCTAGCTATGTGAATCATTTAAACACATGCTTATTCATATTGAAACATCTTCTATTTAGGTGATGTGATTACTTTTGATAACTGGCGCTTGCTTCATGGCAGACATAGCTATGAAGCAGGAACGGAGATCTCCCGTCATCTAGAAGGAGCTTACGCAGACTGGGATGTGGTAATGTCAAGGCTTCGTATCTTAAGACAGAGTGTCGAAAATGGAAACTGAATCGCCTGTTCAAAATTTTAGTAATATTATAATTCGTGTGTTTAGTAAGACCTGGCAAGTTTATTTGAGCCCATAGACTCTTATCCAAATCATGATGATACTAATTTCTCTGATACTGAACACATAATTCTCTCCTCAATGTAATCTTTTCTTTGTAATCATATGCGAATACATTATTAACTTTTTAGATGTTGTGGCAATGTTTTCTCTTTTACAAATAAATCATCCCTTCAGTTTTAGTATACATATGGTCTAATTTATTTTTTCCACATGTGAGTCTCCAGAATGCCTACAAACAATTTTCAAATCAAAGCTTTTCATCTTAAATAAAGATTTTGTTTTTGTCTGTGGTTTTTTGTCAAATACTTTTCATATTTCAAATAAAATTTACTTGGAATAAACTTGTTTCATGTAAAGTATGTTTTGCCCTTTTGTCTAGAATCTTGTTTCTCAATCTGCATATAACTTCAATATGCCTAAGAAGAACCTTTATGTTTTCAAAGATCTTTATTCACTTTTATTACAGAATTCTATTACCCAAACATCCATACCTTACCAACCTTTTCTTAACTACTAAAATTAAGACACGAAATCCAAACATGTCAAATTAATTGAAAATATAACCTACTAAGGTTCTCTTGCCCAAAAAAAAATATTGCCAAGAACTTCCCTTATTACTTAGACTTGCCCATGGATTAGTTTTCCTAAGTCCAGGGGTGGCATTGTAGGATAAGAACTAGACCTCAGGAACAGTTTGAATCACAAAGTGATGATTCAAACCCACCAGCTGCTCCTCAGAAACCCTATACACTATGGCTATTAGTCAAAACTGAGTCCATGGCACTTAACAACAACTACAACATTCTTTACCTTCAAGGAAAAACTGGGAGAGGGAGAACATGTAACATTTATAAATGGATAAGAGACTACTAATTTCTGGACATCCTCGACTGCTGGCATTGGTTTCTTCTAGGGCCACTACCTTGCCTCTGTTGGAGGAACACTGACTGCTATGCGAGTTCCATTCTAGTTGGGCCCCATTCCTTCCCTACCTTTGACAAAAAGGGAGGTCTCAATGTTATCGTTTGCTGAAACTGGTAGTTGTTCTTGTTGTTATGTGCCATGGAGT